TACACACACACACACACACACACACACACACACACACACACACACACAAATAAGACAAAAACTGAAAATCATTTCACACCCAATCTTAACTTACTGGTTCTTTGGTTCGTGTCTCCAATTGCTAAGTGAGTAGTGATTTCAGATTGAAGTAATGTCAAGCAAGTGTCGTTGACACGGAGATCAAAATGGGTTGTCACTGGAGTGTGTCCTTGAGCAAGACACGACAACCTTAGCTCAAAATACAGAGCGCTGCACAGTGGCGACCAACAGTGGCATTGTTGTAAACTGTTCTGTATTAGTGTAATATCGTGTACATGTATTTATGTATGTATTTATGAATGTATTTATGTATGTACGAAATTATGATATTATTGTATTTATGTATGTATGTTTGCCATTGTAAACCAAATTGCCCTTCTGTGACAAATAAAGGTGTAATTTATTAATTTTTTGGTTGGTTGGTGTGTCCAGAGGCTGTCCACTACCGGCTACCTGACGTCCAGTGGTGGCCGGCCTGAGGCCCAGGACGTGGCTGTGCTGGTGACAAGTGGCGGGAAACGGGGCCGTCGTCTTCAAACTGAGGTGGATCGTCTGCTGGGAGAGGGGGTCGAGGTAAGTAAGGCACTGGTTTCATGTTCCCCACGTTTTCATGTTGTTACCGTCACCCAACTTGCAGGTGTGACGGAAGCCTTCTTTAACCTATATTCGGCGTCGCACTGACTTCATATCGCAATTCCCACTCTTTCATCGCCCGCCATTCATGATTTCGATTTAACTGCTGCAGTAAATTGCTCATTTCAACAAACTTTCAGATTCAATCAAGGCCAGTAACCTTAGATCTATCCTCCAACCGCCCCCCTCCCAGCACCCATTTGTGCTTTTGCTTGTTTGTTTGTTTGTTTGTTGTTGTTGATATTTTAGTCATTAAGTGCGCGGGATAATATTATGAGACTTACAGGCAAACTATCACCAAATAACAAAACGTATCACTATCTCCTCCCCTTTTCCTCCATCACCTTCCTCCACACCTATCCTCTCCACCACCCCACCCCCCTCGCTTTGTTCAATCCTCACCCTCTCCACTCCTACCCTCTCCATCTCCTTTCTCCATCCCA